ACGAATTGAGTCATGTCCTGTGACTTGAAAACAGATAAGCTGTTTGGAATGCAAAATATCAGTGAGTAACACATGTAGTAAAGACTGAATACTAAGAAGAGAGGAACAAGTATGATCACGGGAAAGAAAGCGTCAAAACATTTGACAAGGACTGGGATGTCCATGATTAGCAGATTACTACAAGCGTCAATCATGCTCACTAGGTTTTCCAAAAATAAATTGTGTATTACTTGAGCTACTGGTTCTTAGTAAGTAGTAAAGTATAATATGGAGGAAGTCGTGATGCCATTTCGGTAAACAGGCGCGATATGGTGACGTTCGCTGGTTTTCATTCTTAAAGAACCAAAATTGTTGCATTTATTTCCCACAAATATCTTGGATATTTTAAAGGTCGCTGAAGCTGAACTGTTATATTACGAAATAAAATCGCAGCAGATCAAGTAATAAATAGGTTTCTTTTAAATTATAAGCAATTTGTTAGTAATATGTACTAGTAAGAGAGGTTTGATACACAGTAAATTTGAGACGCTTTGCAGAAGCAAGTTGTAAATGATGTATATGAATTTTAAGAGTAGCATGAGGAGTGAAAATCTATCCAGAATTCGAAGGATGAGAGCAAGACTGAGTGGCTCGATGATGCATTGTAAAGCTAGTGAATAGTATCTTTCCAAATAGCACACCGAGCTGGAATCGAATTCAACGATGAAGTTACTAATAACCTGCTACAGTATTTCAGTTTTCTTGTTCGTTGTCTATCGCGGTGAAAATCACTATGATCAAATCTTGTGCAGTATCATTTCGATCACTTTATCATAGCCTTGTCAAAGTATGTACATGCTCAGCCTTAATTCAAATATAATCTACAATATCTTAATGTATAGTGTCCTTTCTTTGATGAAATCGTCGTCATGTGGATTGTTTCGAATTAATTTTATAATAAGTTTATGAATGCCAAATGATTTTTATAATACATTAGATTATTCAAAATGGTGCTCTGTTGTAATATTTTTCTAATAAATAACTTTATTATAAAAACTTGCGAAAGTTTGTACATTTTAATTCATATACCAGTAGGTCAGATGGTCAAAAGCAATACGGAACGTGGTATAATCGGGTATCTTTTCAAGTTCCCACAACAAATTAGTAAAACATGATAAAATGATCAGGATAGCAGAGTAGTTGCAGTATTTTTATTAGTACAAGCTTGCAGTAACCGACCATTGACGATATTTAAATCGTGGTTATCAAACAAGGTATAACTATTTTCTAGCCCCGATAAATTTGAGCGAACTTGGTACATAGTATGGTTAATTTTGAACTACTCGAATATTGAGGAAAGCAATTTTCTTATTTGGTACTTACAGGCAATGCACATATACTACAGGTAGTCAAACACGTTTTTTTTTAAGTCATCGTGAAAATTAGTATACATTGAGTTATACATACTATGTATTTATATATTAATACATGTACCAAGTAATCTGTCTAAAAGAAGTCATATTTCATTGCTCAAAATCCGGATAAATAACTAATCGATAGAGTATACTACTCCTCCAGGTGATCTTAGACAATCCAGAAGACACCATAGAAGTAGGTTTCCCCCTAGGTTGCCATTCACCAGTAGCTATTATTTACATTCATCATTTTATGATGTTGTGCTGTTGAATGCATTCTATCGAATCTCCCCGAGTTTATATTTCACTTAAGCTAACAGTTATCAGTCAATTTTAAATGTAATTAAGATGTAGTTGATGATCTTTGTCGGATGTTTTTGTATGAATTAGCGCTTTGACTGAATTCTGCCAATGAATCATTCTATTCTATTCTACATTTAGAAAAGATAAGTCTCAATTAAAGTATAATTAAACTGAATGTGTTACCAACTGAATCACTATAAGGACTAATACAAAAAGCCTAAGTTATTAAATCATATTCAAGAAGTAAAAATAAATGTTACTTTTAAATTGTTATCAGAATGATTATTTCAAAATAAACAATTTTCGGTACATTTACAATTAATTCACATTGAAACTATATATCATCAGTTGAACTTTCTAGTTGTATAATTTGTTAGTTTAACATACAATTAACAAAGTATATTTGATAAGTTGTAATCCATAATAATTATGGTAATAATAATGTGACTAATAATAACAATAATAATAAGTACAAATATATATACAAGAACCAATAGGAAAGTAATGACTGTCACAATTGAATCATATGGTTCATCAAGAAAGTATAAATTGCAAATATTATATTTTAGATATATTTAAAATTAAAAAAAAAGAGGAAGAAAGCAACTAAATGGTAAGAGGTGACATTACTCATAATTTTTTAAAATCATTTATTAAGTAGTATGAATGTCTGATTTTTTTTCTTTTTATATCATGTTTATAAGGTAAAACAAAAACTACTGTATAATATTGAGAGTTACGGATCTTAATATAATTGAAATGAAAACAGTTGAGATCATGAATTAATTGAAGCTAGACCACCATGGAAAACCTGGAAGCACTGGACGGCCGTTTCGTCCTATTGCGGGACTCCTCAGCAGTGCTCATCCACGATCCCGCTTCGTGGGATTCGAACCCAGTTGAAGTTAGACATTAACAACGTTGGATGCCGGCCCAGTGGTCTAGTTGGTTAAGCACCTGACGCGAAACTGGTAGGTCCTGGGTTCGAATCTTGCGGGCTGCGGGATCGTGGATGCGCACTGCTGAGGAGTCCCACCATAGAACGAAACGGCCGTCTAGTGCTTCCAGGTTTTTCATTGTGGTCTAGCTTCAATTGACTCATGATCTCAACTATTGAAATTACTACAATCTCCACAAAACCCCTTCTGATACTAATCAAATGAAAACTACACAATATGATCAACTCAGCGGTCATTTTTGATAGATAAAACAATAAAGCTTATTCTAATTAATGACCAAAATGTTTTCAATACAGTTCAACTTCATAATTCTAATATAAAGCGTATTTTGTATAAAATTACACATTATTAAGCAACTGAATACGTCTATTAGATGTTATTCTTAAGTGTATATTTATACGATAAATTCAATGACTAGTTTATATGCATCTAGTAAAATTGTAGTTCTTGTACAAGATATCACTTATCATTAACTGTCATGACAGTATCATATAATGTTTTAATATTATTCTTAAAATCAATGTTCCAATCATTTTTATTAGTTAATTCAACTATTCTCTGAGATCGTCAAGGTAAATTACATACTTTATTATGATTCATTTCATTAGAATAACTATAGTATATAACGATGGGAAATATCCTTATTACGTCCATTAAACTTCAGCCAATTTAGATAAGCAGGATTTCTATGAATTGAAATATGAATTAGAGTAGCTACTGTAAGGCCAAATATGCTGATATTCCCATTAAATTTAAAGATATATGTAACTGAATTTAAATTTCATTCATTAAGAGGTAATTATTATAGAACACTATTAGTAATATATTTCATACCTAATTATTCAAATAATGTACAAGTTATGTTGCGCTATAAATAGGAGTAACTTTAAACAAGTAATATGTCTAATAAAAATAAAGTAGGAATGCTTCTCCTCGACAAATGTTATTCCGTTAAAATCCTGCATTTCTATCAAAATCCCGATGAACAGTTTTATTGTAATGCTAACCATCAATTATTTATCCATAGTAGAGGGTGGCCCCATTTATAGACTTGTTCTAATCAGAATTACTTACACAAAAATGTTATAGGTCTATCCTATGAAATCACTTGAATAATGTTAGACTACTTAGAGTACATGGTCTCTACAGCTAACAACAGTTTATTTGCCTTGATATAAATCGATTTTAGGGAATATTCTATGTTTTAATTGATCATCGATTTAGTTTCAGATCACTCAAGTATACGGATATGATGTAATAATAATAATAATAATAATAATAATAATAATAATAATAATAATAATAATATAATTCACTCAATAAATTGAAAGATAAATTCATATTTTTTTATTAATATTAAGGTGAAGGAATTGAAATTAATAAATGATGATAAAGTGAGTAAAAATCTCGTATTTACATAATGTTATAACTTCTTTTATTACCACCTAGCTACTCATACACGGTTAAATAGGAACGTAATTATATTTTACATAAAAAAGTTAGGTGGAAATAGAATCACAATAAGAGAAACGTTAGTATATATATAGCTTTTACACAAGATTCTACAGTCTCCTCTTAGTGACCACTAGCGCTGATTGCATAGGAAATAGCCAATCAGCGTGCTCCAACATAATCCTGTGTAGAACGTGCATTGAACCAATCTATATCCCACTAGAACAAATTTAAAATGACAGCTATATTTTCAGCTACAGATGACGCCATATTACTAATTAATTGGGGTTAGAAATGACGCTCATAAGTTTTAAGCTCAATAGCTGAAACCTGAAAGTCCAAGACCGAATTCTATATTGACTTATGATTTGTATTGCTAAATAGTCCCAGACTTTCGTGAAACAACTGTTCAGCGATACTAGGTTTTCAGCGGTTACGATTCTTGTGTCACTGCGTAAACAAAATTGTTCGACAAGAAATACTTATAAAACAATAGCATAGTAGGATAGACTCAAAACATCACTTTTGTAACATTCAAACAACGCCCTAAAACATCTGCTAATCTATCAGGTTATCATGTTGTGACATTTTCTAAGTTCGCTCAGAAAGACAAATTCAGTGTGTATTAAAAATCAGTATCAACACTAATTTACATTAATGTAAATAATAAACTGCCCGAAGATTTAAGTATGATTATGAAGGAGATAAGAAGCGATTGGTGAGATAAATGAATCAACTGTATCGCTTTACAGTTGTAATTTAACTTATTCATATATAACTCAGAAAACTTTTCTGAGGACTTTGCACTTTGATATTTGTTACAGAATCTAATATTGACTAATTGAATCAGAATTTGAATGAAAAGGGTGATATTAAATGATGTAGTGTTAAAGTACAACCAGCTATAGGCCTACATATATTATGAGTTAGACTTATGTCAGACTTGAAATGTACACATTTTACCGTGACAAACTGTTGAACAGTACCACATTCATTTATTTCAAATCTTAGAAAAAATATTGTTTTTAGACCCAAGTTCCCGTCAAAATAATTGATTGTCATTAATTAAAAGTGTGTCCATAAACGTATCTCAGATATCATTCTTGAATATATTTGTGTCGAAGATTCAACATTTCTTGTTAGGTCTTTATGAAATGGAGTATTCCCACTTCTTTGTTGGAAAGACAAACTAGGATATCACTGAATAAAGGTAAGTTTTTAAACAATTTATTGAATACTGTTTCTAATATATTCTTATAATGAATCCGAATTCAAAAAAAGTACTGGATGACGAAAAGCAAATGTCTATACTCTATTAGTGCAAGATTAGAGCGATTTTAATCGGTGTAGGAGGTCTGTAGAAATTATTGAATGTTGTTGATATCACGAACAGACTTAAGTTAGATATCCACTGAAGACCAGAAAGCGCTGGATAACAGTTTCACCCTGGTATGGGACCCAGGAACTACAGTCCAGCTGCCAGCGACCCCCACTGAGTAGTGAACATTCAATGCTGAGTCTTGTACTAGGACAAAACGGCCATCAAATGCTATCTGGTTTTCAGTGGATATCCAGCTTAGGTCGGTTTGGGATATCAAAAATGATTTTGTATGGTATGGTAGTTAGCAAAACTGTGTGTATTTTTCTAAAAATAATATCATCATTAAAATCCAGTGAGATAGATACTCATGAATTTTTAAAAATTATCAGGTTGTGTGGTTATATATCTTTGCATATGTATAAGAAGGCTGTGTGAAAATGTCTTCAGAATTATTAATCAATAATTTTGCTCCGCACAAATTGATTAGGATATTATATTCAAGCAATGAATTAGAATCGTATCACTTATAATCAGTGTACACTGCACAAATTTGACTAATAGTTGTGGTAAGGAATATAGTGTGATTTTGTAGTTATCTAGTTTTAGGAAACATCCAGCTTATTATCGTTAATCTAACCAAGCCGCTAATAATAGACATCTGTATTATTTTACTGAAATATTTTATGACATTTTCTGATTTCGTAAGCAAATTAGGTTCTTATTACTATGGATATTGATTAAACAGATACATAGTGTGATGATTGTGCGATCAAGTCAAAATCATTATGCGCGATTTCTACATGGACATATTTTCATTTTCATATTATCCTATTTCTTTTAGTGTATTAAATATATTACTTACTAATATTCAGTAACTGATGATTGTCAACCATTTTTGAGAACATAACGTATCACATCTCGTTGTGCGATATTTCTGAGTATTTACATTAAACTATCACATCTAATATGTTTATTATTATGAGTTCATCCTCTTGAAACTTCTAACAGTTATCTCTGTTTCTTATGTGTTTACTGGAAATTTGTTTATGTTTAACAGTTTCCGTATTTTATGTTTTTAGTTCACATTTCTAATCACTGACTACCATTGTTGTATTGATACGAGTCTTCACCTAGTTTATTGTACATTTTTATGATTGTTTCTCACACAACTATTTTTAAAAGCATTTCCTCTTGGATTAATCATCGACTCGTGTAAATGCCATAGCTAACTCATGAATTGTGGTTTGTAAATGCACTACTTATTGTGCCATTATTATTATTACAGAGTCGTAGATAAATTTCGTGTTTTGATTTCTAGATTTTTAAACGTCATTCAATAATTTAGTCAGAGCCATCGAACAAATTTAACAACATCTATATTAAAATCAATGATCAAACAAACATACGTACATATGAGTGGACAGTGATAAATTCATTCAATATTGTTAAAATTAAATAGGTTGCTGCGTGAGAGCTTAGAAAATGAAGTACAATAAAATTAATATTTATACCGATTGAAAGATAAGGAATAAGCAATTAGGTTAAAAAGGTTTCTCTAAAAAGCAATGCTATAACAAGAAATCTAAATAAAATCATGACTTATAACTAGGTCTTTTGCTATTAGGCGATTCACTGGATTCACAATGAAAGGTTAAGATAGTTGAAAAAAACCCAACGATCACTTATCATGCAAAGTAAGCAATACAGTTAGGAGAAAAATTGTTAACAACCACTTTAAATAGGGTTTTATAGTAATTAAATTTTATCATTATCTATGCCATTTGTAAAAAGTTAAGATATTATTCATGAAATAAGTAACAATTACGATGAGAAATGCTACACTGGCGAATGGTATCAATAGAATTTAAACAAAACTTTAGATCAATTACAGTTGGAAAGAGAAAATCGTTTGAGAACAAACTATACCTTTATGTAATAGGACATACACATTTTGTTAAATTAGTGAGTAGATGGATCAGGAGGATATTCAAAACACATGCATGTACTCATGCTGAATACATAAACCAACAGTAATGATTTGGAGCGAATAGGCATCGATGAATGGTTATCTACTATTAAACATTATGTTTGATTTAAAAAAATTAGCACTCTTGTTTCCATGTCTCCAATTCATGGAAACAAATATTATCATTAGTTTAAAAGGTTATCCTAACTATTAGTTAATGTCTTACAAAACATTTTATTATGACATTTCATTAATTATGTAATATGTAACTAGGATTCAGTTTAATACTTAAAAGTAATATTCATAAAACGAAAGTAATTCTCTGGTCTATTTCCATATGATGTATATACATGACAAAGAGTGCGATAGAAATACAGTGAAAACAGATGATAATTTACAAGCTAATTCTACAGTTGTTGTAGCTGATTCAATGGTACAAAAGAAAAAAAATCTAGTGAAATGTATGGAAACATTGGATGATTCTTCGATGACACTAAAAAAGGTTAGATAATCAGTTTATTAAATTGTTTAATTAAAATGAAAATGTTTTTGAAGGTATTATATTTGTAGTGTCAGTCATTATTTTAAGCCCATATATCTTATGTTCTATTTTCCGGACATTCCATTCTATTCATTCTACGTGAGTCATATTTTGACCTTGTCAATTATTCGCTTGTCAGTCTTGACTGTTTTTATATGAGCGTATATGTGTGTACACTTCATGTCCCATGATTCATCACATGTCTGTAGTTTATTTTGTCTGCCTATAAATATTAATTAACGCTTGACTAAAATGGAGTTGGCTTCCCAGCCATCTTCCCTGCGTGTCATTTTGCTTTGCTATGTTTCATTCGCTTCATATACAAAATATATGTATTCACAAATCAATTCTCGTTATTCAACTTATTTAATTCCGTTATTGAATAACGTGATTTAAGTCGACGATGATATACGAGAATAGGCGATAACAATCATTCGTACGATCTAGGAATCAGATCCACGGGCCACTAAAATGGTTACAGTGGAAAGAGCAGGTAAACATGATACAGTTAGCATCGATAGAGTAAAACCAGCATTTTTAGAGAACACTGAAAAACAGACAACTGTAAAACCGTTTAAACCCGCAGCAGAGCAAGCACCATTCAAACTACCTGCAACAAGCAACACTTCAAATCAAAATTCAGCAGCAGCACAAACTACAACAAGATCAGGAAGAAGAGTACATTGGCCAGATAGGTATGTAGCAACCACTATATTTATCTAGACCAAATCCTGAGACTACTCTTATAACACATAAAAATCCTACTTTATTTTGATTACTCTTTTTTTTTATTGGCCCCACGGATCATCATTATGCTTACATTTTAACTTTATACAATTCATTAATGTTAAATATACACTTGTATATACATGATATGAAACGTTTCAACACACAAGCTGTTATTACAATTTTACGCTTACTCATCATATTGAGTTGTACTTTCATTTTTAAAAACAGTTCCGTTCTTTATCTCTTTGTCGAACATAGATGTTAATCCAATTTTTTTTTTGGTACATAAAAACATCAATGTTCTGGATGGGAGCTTATGTGGCAAGCCCATTTGGCTACTGTATCATTTATCTAGTTATTGTAACTCAGACTCAATTCACTATGTTAATTTCGGTGTGTATGATCGAATGTATGTCTGTACATTAACTCTTAAGCTATTTTCCTATTGGTTTCAATATGCAGATAATCGATAATCTATCCACACCCGATTAACTCTCAAATATATATGGATTTTTAACAGACTCACTCACTCTCTCTGTTTCATCGTGTGCTTGCTCACCGTACGCTTGTGGATTATTATTATTCATTAACAATAAACTATCTCTATAACTGGTGTTCAGGCTTTTTAATAATCTCGAGTAAATTCGCAATTCTACTAGGAGATTAAGCCTACCTAAAATACTCAGTTACGGGATATTATTATTTGGAGTCAGATATTGAGGACATTATCCACAACATATTCTTTAGGCCAGATGATTTAGTCAATACAATACCTAAATAATATCCATTGCAAAACTGCAAATATTCTGTATCATCTCAAAAGGATTGTTTGATGGTCACTACTGTAAAAAATATAAATATACATTGTAAAAACTCACAAAAAATCGATTTAGTGTAATGACCATAAATTTGTTTGTCTTCTATTAGACCAATTATAGTAAATGACTGATCTAAGAAGGTAATGAATATTGTTAATACATGGTTTGTATTTCAAGCTAATTTGGCTAGAAATAGAACATTATCCTTCTCCCGAAATCAAATACTCTTTTTTTTAAAGACTTGATAGCTACAGTCTGAGTCTTCCTCTAACATATTTTTACATAATAAATTCAACACCTTACTTATCAGTTGTTTTGTCGTTTAGCATTTACATATTGGTTGGTGAAAATGATTATTCCATACAATATCAGTGCTTATTTGGAAAATAAATAATGTGACAATAACAAACAATAGTCACAATTGATTGATCACTGGGTGGTGATCAATGTCATGCTTGTCTAGTCCTCATTAGTGCAGATCGAATGCTATCGACCATGTTGCAATGTGGCTATCAGCCAAGGTGACTCGACACTACGGGCACTATTGTGCGATTAGACTAGACACGCATGACATTGATCGCCACCCAGTGATCAATCAATTGTGATTACATCTCAGTCCTACAGTTGTCACGGCTCGGGTAGCTCAGTGGTAACGTCTCTGACTGTGAAACTGGGTGACACGAGATTGAATCCGCCAAGGAGCACCAGTTCCCTCAAGATTACAGGTACACCTTGCTGACGAGTGCCAAGTAGCACGAAACCTGGGTCCAGGGTATCCTGTCGACTACTTCCAACCACCATCTAACAAACAATAGTAAATAAATTTCAGAAATTAGTAAGAATTAGATAAGTCCAACAACACTTCCCATGAGATTATTTTGTATTTAATCATTCAGTGGTGTGAATCATTATTGATAGACTTATTTCTTCCAGATTCATAAGTCACTAACCTATATTTTTATATTAGTCTCTACAGCTAAAGAGTGGTCTCCAAACGATGAGCAAAGTAAAATGTTTAAAGGAATGTAACATATATGAAGCCATCTGGAAAGATGAGCACTTTTTAAATCCAAACTGCTGTTGTAACTTAATCGGTTACTCAACACCATTTCGATTACCATGTGATCCGAGTTCTTAGTAGTTAACATTTTGCAGGTATATATTCCACCAACTTACATTTGATGATTAAACTACAGTGTATTTCTTATCAGCTAGTTTCTGTAACATTGCAATAAATGTTTTCAATTCACAGAAGTCTGATTCGAAGGAGAACCTAATTCAGAAAAACACAACTTCTACATCCAGTAATGATTTCGCATCAAAAGATCCAATATCCACTATTATGTCACCAAAGGCTGAACGATATGTTCGTAGATGGTTAACAGATGCTTCACCATTAGGTAAGTGGATAATTATGTTTCAGGAAATGTATGAGAGTAGTGAATGTGAGGCTTGACTAACAATAGTCCAATGAAGTGATTACAATTTCACTGGCATTTCTAGTTACAAGCCATCCCCTAAATTATAAGAAATGGAAAATTACGATTTCAAATTTGAAAATAAGACTCGAAATTTATTACGTTTAGAGAACTTTGGACATTTTGTTAATAGTAAGGTTGATAGTTTAAAGTAATTCTACAAACTAGAAAAATAAAGATTTCTATAATCAACGTATCTATATCAAAATGATTGATCTGTGAACATACAAAGTAGCAAAAGAATAAAAGCTGTGGTAACAATCATGGTACATTATTTGTATTTAATGTTAAACAGAATTTGTATATAGATGCATAAAGCAAATATGAAAAGTAATTTATTTATAAGGAACTTGCAATTTACGCAAACAGATCATTTCAGCTGAAAATGTATCCGTACAAATATTTGTCAGTGCTCAGTGTTATTCTTTGCAATATACCAATACATATACAACAGGGTCATCACGATTTATATTTTAACCAAGGTAAAAATGTTTTAACTTGTAAATGTTTGGACTGTTCTGATGTTGGTATTCTTGACTGAATTTCGGGCAGTTTTCATTGTCATATATGCAATCTGTGCGGCTTACCTCAATGTGGTCACCTTCTAAAACGTTTTACAGAACAGGTAAGTCATGGCTGGGAGTCAAATCCCGGATTTTCGTTTAACTTTCTTTTGAACTTGTCAGATGGATGCACATGCACTATAGTATTGATGACCACATATGGAATCCAACACATCACTCTTCCCTTCAAACACCAGCGCAAGTACATCCAGCTAACTAATCCCAAGTAAGATGAAATTTGAGTCCTGGATTACGCTGCTAGTCACAATCTATCTATTCTATAAAACAAAGTAGACGGTTAAAAAATTCACTACATGCAACAGTCTTAATTAGCAAATTACCTTGAAGCATGCATTTAGTAATCATAACTCAGTTGTTCATGAGCCTGCTTACAATCCTAAAGAATTATTCACTTGGTATTGTTTGGCTTGTATCTTCCCATTGAGGTTTAAGACTGCAATTGATCAGTCTGTTATTGGCATATGTGCATACTGTGCGTATGCCTCGATACTGCCTTAATTCACAAGCTTTTTGTAAGCAATGATGGATAGTGGCTAGGAGTGGAATCCAGGATGCGCGTTTCGCGAGAATTATTTATAAATTATTTTTATATTGAACAGTAAATGTTTATATTCTCATATTCAGCTAATTTTTCAATTATGAGACTATAAATTCACCAGCAATGTAGAGTTGTGATACAAATTCATTCATGTGCATCGTGGAACCTGTGACATGTATACATCATATCAGGTTGCTACACCAGTCAGTCAGAGCAAATCTCAGGTGGAAATAGTATTAATGGTAATAGAAAACATTAGACATCGAAGATACGGTTGAGAAAAAACAGATTAGTGATATAATAAAAAAAAATTGAGTTATTCCAAAACTTAGGATCTGAAGAGAAACAAGGATTCAATGCCCCAGTGTGATTGCAACACGGCCTTGAGGTCAAGGAATACAACTATAGTAGGACGTTGAAGAGTGTGTAGAGGCTGATTTCCCCTATATCTGACTCCAATAAATAGTATCCCGTTAACTGAGTATTTAATGCAGGCTAAATCTCCTAGTAGAATTATAGATTTACTCGAGATTATCCGAAAGCCTGAACACCAGTCATCGAGATAATTTAAAGATTGGTAAAATCCGAAAACGTTCATGAAGCAAGCACACAGGGAAACCAAGAGTGTGTGTTAAAAATCCATATATATTTATGAGTATTAATCAAGTATGGATAGATTATTGATTGTTTGTGTATTACAACCAATGAGAGAATAGATTAAAAATTTTTGTGCAGGCATGTGCTCAATCACACTCACACAGAAAATTACATAGTGGATTAACTATCTAAATTACAGTGAGCAGATAAATAATGCAGTAGTTGAATGGGCTTACTACAAGTGTATCTGTTTTACAGAAACCACCAAAAGGTAAATATTTGGTCCACAGATTTGTCCAGTTCTGTAACCAGCTTGTTTTCCACAAGTTCGCTCTTCACGAGCCCTAATTGAGGGTTGAATGATTGCTGAGGCCGGCGTTTCAGACAATATTTTACTTAAACTGATTCCTCTGGAGTTACCAAAGAGAACTTTTTTCATTCTTACAGACTGAAGTTATCAACGATCGCGACAAGTTAGATGGGATTAAGTTCAGTTGTGAGGCTGTAGGTGATATCTCAGACAATCTGAAATACCTTCTCTAAATTGTTTAGAAGTTAATCCGTTAGAGCTTACTGATTTCATCCGATCAAAATCAGATATGACTTTTTCTACTTCATCAGTCGGGGAGGTTATGTCGATATCCTATTTAGGTTTCTTGGTAAAAGTAGGACACTCTATGGTAGCTGGAGAGCATTTAACTTGGTTTCCAGAATGTTCTGTCTATCGTTCCACCATCCAGGGTTGAAAGCGGATCACTGTCACACCTTTGGCAGAGATAGCTCTCCTATCTCCCGAATATCTAATATGTTTTTTTGCTAATTTTGAAAAGTTGTCCACTGTTACCTATAGCTTGCCTAGCACATTTTACAATCTCTGGTTCGATTTTCTATCAGTCTATATTTAAGTTGCCTTCGCTCCACATAGCGTTCGGATCCTGACGGGACATTTCTGAGCATCTATTAGTTCAGTACAAAAATAGAAAATACTTAAATAAACATGCCAGTGAGCGGCGTGGATAAGCGAAGACTAAGTATGAAATACATTGTGACATAGTAACAGCTGAGTTAGATTCTCAGGTTACTGACATTGTCCTTTATGTCCCATTAGTTAGATGCAAGTAATATCAACCCTGACTGTATGCTGCTGAGATTATGAAAAACAGGAAGCTTATGCGGAGTTGATCTATAATTCATTGTGCCCGTATGTATACAACTTCAGCAATCAGTTATCACGTGTTCATTAGTGAATAGTTTCGAAAGGTAAGTCCCGGAGTTTAGTTAGAAGCAGTAACCAATGAAACCAACCACGTCGCGAGTAACGGCAATGCAGCACCGCTGCAAAACATCGTGAATTGGCTGAAGTTAATCATGTAAATCATTGGATGTTGGCTCAGTTGTTTAGAGTTTAAGGGCTCGCTACGAGTTTTGAAGGTCCTGGGTCCAAAACCGAATGTCATGGACGCACACTTCTGAGCCACATACCAGAACGAAACAGCTATCCACTGATTCCTGGATTTCTAATATAAGCCAGTCCGATATGTAAATTGCGAAATACAACAATCTCTACAGACATCTATGCATGTTCAAGTAAATTAGTTGACAGAACTTGATTTTCACTACACATGTGCATTTTATTACTATGTATCAGATGATGGTTCTTTTATCATATAGAATTAAAACAACAATTAAATTACCAAAGGAGTTGTGTCAGCAGTATTTAATATCTATAGTTTGAAATATACGCTTGATATTAAAAAGGTTTTATTCAATTCCAAGATTTTAACGGCCATAGTAAGCATTTGTCATATAGAATTCTTTATGTAGTGAAAGTTAAATGTGTCCGAAACACTATAATATTGACTTATTTAGTGGCACACAATAAGTTTCCTTGTGAGTTAAAGAAAATTTTTGGTTATTAAAACTGTTTGCCCTTATTTAATTTTTCACGCATTGAACACATAAATCATATTCTTATTAATTTCTAACTCAGTTATATCATTTCACCCATATTTTGTTAAATTTAGAGCGCACAACTGCACTGGAATTGATAGACAAACTCTACCGTGAGACAAACGAACAAGACCAACTAACTGATACTCAATTTCAAATCGTTATGAAACGAGCTAAGAAGTGAGCTAGCTTGTGATATTTTTTGAGTAGAAGAAAAGAGAAGTAACATATATACAGTAACAATGTTATTGTGCATAACAGCAAGCACCTTTCTGGCATCCAACTTAAATTATAGTTTAGCTAATATGTCGGTTTATGGATAGCCAAAATGTTGTTAAGTGATCGAATTAAAGTCCAATCAACTGAACAATTTGAATATTATCGTCCTCATAATCTCAAATATCTAATATGCGCTTATTAGTTATGACAATGATTTCTTAATATTTCTTTGTATATCTTATCCAGTTGCCTGAAAACAAAATGACTTGATGATCAAATCGTTTCACGTAGGATAAGTAAAATAACGTACATCCCCAAACAATAAAACACCGGTAAGCATATTATCTAATAATTTTATGCAATAACATACTAAATATATTGACTAAATGTCACTTCAAATTAATTTTAAGAACCCGGAGCAAGAGTCTGAAACACTTCTATGCCTATCGAAATGCTCTCATATAACTACATGCATAGAGCCACTGCCAGGAAGTCCTACTCACTGCATTATCGCGGCCGGAGTGTTGTTTACGAAATTGAGGACGAAAAGTGAGTGTCCCGGCTTTAACCGGGTTGGTGGATACGGAGAGTCGGAAAACCCTGATTCCAAGCCAATGGTGCACATGGGCTCCAGGATTCTGAAGGAACCAATGGTGTATAAACCAATTGTTAATTACCGGGTACCATAGGACTGCATCTCCTTACGTTGCCCCATCGCCGTTTGGACTAGACCTCTAAGTCAAAGGCTCAGGGTGTGGTCTCCTAAGAAAACCATCTGCTTCGGTCTGGTCACCCGGGTAGTATCACAGACCACACACAAACCAAGTGACTTGTGTGGTGCATATGTATTCGGTGCCCCTTTGTGGCAATATTTATGTGTTCAAATAAATAAATAAATACTTCTAGGAAGATGGCTGATAAAACTCAGTTATATTTCAGTCAGTCATCAACAACGTAAGTACATCAGTTCGAGTTGCCATACCACATTAGCACAGAGATACAATTGTCGATTCAAATCCCGTAGTAAAAGTATAAGCAGTAATCGGAAAAATTAGGGTTTGAAGATGTTATTCAAGGAGCATAATCAGTGAAATAAATTTGGAAAGAGAAAAAAAAGACATGAAGAATTCAGAAGGACAAAAAGAGTGGATGCACCCTCGCCATTGCAAACAATTTTGAGCCATGTCGTTCAAGGTCTCTGACCATCGGTTGCTATCGTCTCAACCAGGTAGTCTACAACCACCAACATGGCTAAGTACACTTGTCAGTGACTTCATGGATTTGTGCCATGTTTTGGTAAGATATAAAAAAGTAAAAGTAATTTACAGTAAACATTTGTCAATATATTGTGATCAGAGAAAATCTAGACAGGTGCACGCATGTTTTTTTAATATTTTCAAGATTTCCGAATGGGTTGGCGAATCTACTAGCCCTCTAAGTCTTTATACACAATTACTATTTCTCACAGTGAATTCAATCTCCATACTTATAATTAAGTATAATTGATATGTTAGCCAAGGCCGTACAGATCATATACTGTCGTAAGGCTATATGGTAAGAGAGAAATACGGGCTTCTACCTAGATATCTCTCTTTGGGACAGTCCGGACATATTAATTACGAGTTACAAGCAATATTATTCAGCTAAGGCAACAAAGCTCGCCTTTCATTTAATAGTGGAAGGGGTGATCGATAGATATGTGAGTGGGGAACTAAAGCCTATCCCGTTTGGTACTTTCCATGAACATGATAGCCAACGACCAGGATAGGGATCCTCACAAATAATCAAAATGAACGTCGTCTGAGGTTCGCAAGAACTAGGATCTTAATCTAACTCGTAAACATAAAATGATTCGGGGCAGGATGTATCAGAACAAATCCTTTCCATTCGAGTTGACAAACCTTCAATGACTATTCTTATTCAATTTCGCCTTCTTAAGAAAGATAAAGCAACGGTTATTTTATGCTTTGTTATTACTTCCCGAGTTTATTAAGATTCTTACACAGCAGTGATACTGTATATGAAGTTCATTTTTATTTATTGTGGAAAGTAATCTCATTGTTCATACCAGGAAAATCATTTCTGCTCTAATTATCAAACATTTTGTAACGGGATCAAAAACATTTGGTTTAAGAATTCTTAAGAATAAACTGAAAATATTCTTGTTAAACATGTATATTTTAAGAAGTCCTTGAACTATTTTAATTATACGGTGAATAAAGGTACATGACGAAGGAACATATATTTTGAATTTTGAGGTCTGATAGAAGATAATCACATTACAGGATATACAATATTCACTTGGTTCTTAGTCGTCACATTCAAGTATTTTTAACTAGGCACATTTACATAATACAGAGATAATGCTATTCTTCGCATAAATTTAAATATTTTCTGCAGCATTAATCGGGATCAAAACAAAACACCACACCCCGTGTTTTCTCAAAGTGATGGTTCAACGCATCTCAAGTATTTAGATCTACTGACTAAGCAAGAAAGAAGAGATCATTGGATGTATTGCAGTTGGCACCACTTACCTCCTTACAGAATATCAAGTACGGCTAAATATGACTACCCTGGGTCACATTATTTACATTTATTGGAAAGACAACCGAAAGAATATGTTATTCATCCTGACTTAGGTTAAAGATAGAGAAATAAATACTTAACATTTTCAAAAGAGAGTTCCAAAGTAGTGGAACAAATCTGTAAAAATTTTTTTGTTGGATATTAATGTATATACATAGTATCAAATTAAAGACTCACATTAGAAGTTTAAAAATGTCTTTCCCATGGAGAGACCCTAGTCATATATTGTCATGTAATTTAAATACCAAGAATATAAAACCAATTACGTTTATTTGCTTTTATAAATTATTTATCTTCCTTAATAGAGAAGAGATGATTTTAAACTCATATCACACACAAACACACTACAAGATATTGATGTGTTGTTCGCTAGGAAAATTTGTCTATAAACAATAAACGAAGTTCAAATCTACTAGGGGGATTTTCACAGAACCAATGATATTTTGCAACCAATTTGCAACACTACGGATCATTGTGGAACAATCAATTGAATGGAATTCACCGCTGTACATCAACTATGAGAAAGCATTTGATAGAGTGGACAGCACAATACTATGGAGGCTTCTTCGACAGTACGGCGTGCCTGAGAAGATAGTCAATATCATACAGAATTCCTATGATGGATTAAACTGCAAAATCGTGCATGGAGGACAGCTAACAGACTCGTTCGAAGTAAAGACCGGTGTCACGCAAGGTTGCTTACTTTCACCCTTTCTCTTTCTTCTGGTGATCGACTGGATCATGAAGACGTCAATATCTGGGGAGAAACATGTGATACAGTGGACAGCTATGATGTATCTGGACGGTCTAGACTTCGCAGATGAACTGGCTCTTCCACTGCACACGCAACAACAAATGCAGGAGAAGACGATCAGTGTAGCAGCAGTAGGTCTCAACATACACAAAGGGAAAAGCAAGATTCTCCGATACAACACAGCATGCAACAATCGAATCACACTTGGTTGAGAAGATTTGGAAGACGTAAAAACCCTTACATATTTGGGCAGCATTATTGATGAACACGGTAGATCTGCTGCAGATGTGAAAGCGCGGATCGGCAAAGCGAGAGAAGCATATCTACAACTGAAGAACATCTGGAACTCAAAACAACTGTCAACTGTCAACATCAAAGTCAGAATTTCTAATACAAATGTTAACACAGTTCTACTGTATGGGGCGGAAACTTGGACAATTACGAAAGCCATCATCAAGAAGATACGAGTGTTTATTAACAACTGTCTACGCAAAACGCGTCGTATCCGTTGGCCAAACACTATCAGCAACAACGTATGGGAAAGAACAAACCAGATCACAGCGGAGGAAGAAGCGCTGGAAGTGGATAGGACACATATTGAGGAAAGCGCCCAACTGCGTCACAAGGCAAGCCCTCACTTGGAATCCGCAAAGCGAAAAGAGAAGTGGAAGACCAAAGATCACATTACGCAGATAAATGGAGAAAGACATGAGAAAAATGAACAACAATTGGATACGACTAGAAAGGAAGGCTCAGGACAGAGAGGGTTGGAGAATGATGGTCGGTGACCTATGCTCCATTGGGAGTAACAGGCGTAAGTAAGTAATTATGTTTTATTGTAAGGCATCGGATTTTAACGGGAATGGTAAAAATATCCAAATGAACATTGGTTAACACGTTTCCCTCTCTTAAAAGTTCACTTTTTATTCAAAAACTAAATTATAAAAGTGGTAAGATCCTATAAGATGCAAATCAGAGAGAACTATATAAGTCGGTATTCAGAAGTAACATAGTTTACTGAGGTGTGTAATTACTTTTAAAAGATAGTTCTAATAAACCATACAGGTTTTAAGCATACAATCTAAAGAAAATCAATTGACAACTATATCATTCGAGAGTAATTATGCCAATTAGCACCTGGATGTATAACCTTGGTTTAAAAAATAACGCAATCGTATTGGTAATTGTAGATTCAATTCAAAATTATCCGTGGTCATAGTAGTTTCATATCGGCTATATATATATATATATATATATATATTCCCAGTTCCTACTTTGCTCACACTTTCATAGATGGATACACAGCCATAATGGTGATATTAGAGTTAAATCCAAGAAAATGTAGAAACCAACTTTATTCATATAAATACACATGAAATATCAATTAAGTTGGAATTTTGAATGATTTCCTAGTTTAATAAAAATAATAACAGTTTGAGCGAGTCAGTATATAGGGAAGTTGGGATCGATCTCCATTGACCACGCAGAAAGACCTCCAGCAACATCACAAACTATGAAGTCACTAGGATTGGATTCAGTATTAAAACTCTTTAATTCTTCTTGTATCGAATCATTAACTTTACCATTTAGATCATGATCAGAATTCGAACATCGGAGAGATAATAGTGCGCTTTTCAAAAGTGGTGCAGCTTCTGCCGACTTATTACCACGATAGCACAAGAGAATTACTGAAATCACAAAAAGAATGATAAAAAAAGAGGTAGGGAATTTTAAACAATGAATCAAATTGAAAAAAACATTTGTTGACATGTTTTTATGGTCAAAATAAAAAATTATAGTTAGGATGAGGTATTTGAAATTCTCTTAATTTCAATACTTTATTGTATCTATGACGGTTTAAGTAGACTATGTAGAATATCAATTGAAGTTAACACCGCAGTGGAAGACTTTTCAACGGTCATCGAACAAAAGCTGGGAAATTTAGTATAAATTATAATGAATGTGTGAAGCCAGTGTGTTTCTGATTATCCCTAGATTGCTACATGAATTTATCACTGGCACTGTGCATAAAGATTGAAAATAAGGTGAAATCTAAGTATCACATGAATCTACTCAATTGAAATTTCTGTCTATAAACAGGCGAGAGCCTCGAATTAACGACTGATATGCACTTATTCATAGGATAGCAAATAAAAGTCTCCTACAGGCAAGCAAAAAGATATGTAACGGTTAAACCTTACTAATTTACTGAGAATAAATACAAATAATAAAGCTAATAATGGTCTGTTTTAAAATCAAATTCAGCAAGTTTACAACAATAATCGTACTGATCAAAACCAATGCATACCAGGAAAAGGTAAAGTAGCTCCTTTGCTAATTTGGGTATCCATCATTTGTCGAATTTCTGATATGACTGAATCACGAAAAAGCTCACTTATGGGTACATCTACAAAAAAAAGTAGTATTTATCATAAATTATTTACCGATAGATGGCAAGTTAAATCATTAAAAACCAATTAATTATTATAATAATCCCTAGAGTTGAATCTTTACTGAAAGGAAAGGAAATTATCAGTAAATCGTAACGTTATATGAACGTCAGGAAGTTAGTCCGTGTAGAAAATGTCCTGTCCTGTAATTTTAGGTTGAATACTAAAGACTATTAGCAGGTTCAGCAGTTCAAATCAAGCTTAATTTCACGCAATTATATCATTCAAGATTTTATGATTGAGTGGCCATGTGCTTTACGTCTATTCTTAAATCATTAAACACACCATAGTGAGTATTTACATTTCACCTGGAAAAAACTGATATTTGCAGACAAGTTACAATTATAGATAGTGAGGGATTAGGTTTTATTTGACTTTGGTGACACACAAAATTAGTCCTTGTGGTATTTTTAATATTTTTAACAGTTGAATTCACGATTTATTCTAAGCTAGACCACCATTGAAAACCTGAAAGCACTGGATGGCCGTATTTTTAATAAATGAATGGGATACATCACGCAACCAAATCGTTTGTACAAAAAATAAAAAAATAATATGATATGCAAGTGTAACTTACGCATAGATGACTTTAGATGACATATGTCGAATTCAGTTTTCGGACGAACATCGATAAGCAAATATGGTGATTGAGAGTCAATATAGCTTTTTAATTGCTAAAGGAAAAAAGGTTAGATACAAAATGGTGTCGTATTTACTTGAACTGTAATACGATGACTGTTCATTGTCATGTTCATATTGCGCGGCTGCAAGTAAAAAGTAATGCGATATACAAGTGCGTTATTTTTAAGACTTTCATACGAAGAATCTCAATATCAAATTGTTCTTCAATTAATATCGAATTTCAATGTGTATTTAAAAAATTGGCTGTTGGAATATACTGCCTAACTAGAAAACAAATATATTATAAACAAACATTTGAAAACAATCACAATCCATCAATATAACAGGGACTAGACTAACTTTAATTTTGGTACCTGAATAGAATCAGACAGAAATATTTATTTTCATTGAATTCTGAAGAAAAGTGGTGAAATTGTAGATTGTGAGTGAATGTAAGAGCAGTGATACGAATAATTCATAAGAGCGATTAATTTTGCACATAGTACGGTTCACTCAGTTGATAGTATAGTAGTTATAGTATCCAACATTTTGAGCTTCAATTAAGTGAAGGGTTTGAAAACTAATCACCATTTGCTTTTGTATCAGAAAGCGTCAAGGAAATTTGATCCGAAAAAGAAAGCTAAGATCGGGGAAGTGACTCAGTGATCTGGTAAGAATGAAGTAGAAATTTGTAAGCTTTGGTAATGATACAATAAAAATGTTGTACGACAGGTACACATCCCATGCAGGAGGAATCGAGATATTAAATGTTCAGACATATCAAACTAATGTACGCGATTTAAGTCATTTTTCATAATAGTTGAAATCATGAGCCCATTGAAACTAGACCACAATATTTATTGATTTAAAATTGTTGATAACGCTTTGTTTAGTGAGCTGTTAAGAGCTGTGCAGTTCTAAATTGGAGTCAATTTTCAATATGAGTAACACGTCCTCACAATCATCCTCTAGTAAGATAATTAACGACAACTTACTGTGTGATATTTAAACACTATATAATAATAAAGTGATAAATACCTTATCACAACTGGGTGTTCCACAGAATAAAACATAATTAGTCAAAGGTCCGTCTACACTGTTTCTCACTGCATCATTTCCACATACAGGACAGTCTGGTCTGGGTTCCCTTAATTTTACTGAACGAGTCAAATTACGTTCAACATCCAAAAGAAATAGTCGACCCGTGTGAACATCTAAAACGAATTTTGACAGACAAAAATTTGGAATTATCTAGACTATCAGAAAGTATGTTAAAATATATCTTAATAATACACTTCAATTGACGTTATAGAGATAAATTAATATATATGTAATATCCCAATGAGTGGAAGATCTATTTTTCCTACTTAGTAGGATATTAAAAACATATTTATTCATAACAAACTACCCAATGCTCAGTTTATTCGAAATTACCAAGTCAAACAT